AAAAAAAAAAAATGTACAAACACTGGAAGATAAACTAGATGACTAGGACCTCCTGAAAATTAGACACTTTTGTGTATCAAGTGATTTTACCAAGAGAATCTACAGATTGGGAAAAACTTTTGTCAACAATGTATTGGATGAGGGACTAATCTCTAAAATTTGTAGAGAACTTCAACACCTCAACAACAATTGGGCAAAAACTCCATTTAAAAATGGGCAGTGGACATGAATAGACACTTCACCAAAGGAAACATTCAGGCAGCCAGCATACACAGTGACCGTATAAGACAGAGTGGAGTTGCCCAATAGGGTTTCCAAGGCTGTAAACCTTTACAGAAGCAGACTGCCTCATTTTTCTCCCATAGAGTAGCTAGTGGGCTTGAACTGCCAATCTTTTGCCTAGCAGTCAAATGCCTTAACCATTATGCTGCCATAATGCATAATGAGAGCAGGAGAAAGGAGAGGAAAAGGCCCAGGAACCGGGACAGACAAGGAGTCAGCTGCAGGGATCCAGGTGAGGAGAGGGAAGCCAGCTACGCAAGTAAGATCTTACTGAAGATAATTCAAAAACGGTTGCAGCAGTATATTGACAGAGAACGTCCAGAGGTGCAAGCTGGATTCAGAAGAGGACGTGGAACAAGGGATATCATAGTTGCTGTCAGATGGATCATGGCTCAGGGCAAAGAATACCAGAAAGATGTGTACTTGTGTTTTATTGAGTATGCAAAAGCATTTGATTGTGTGAATCATGACAAATTATGGATAACATTGAGAAGAATGGGAATTCCCAAACACCTGATTGTACTCATGAGGAACCTGAACCTTGACCAGGAGGCTGTTGTTCCAACAGAACGAGGGGTTACAACATGGTTTAAAATCAAGAAGGGAGTGCATCAGGGTTGTATTCTTTCCCCATACTTATTTAATCTATATGCTGAATAAGTAATCTCAGAAGCTGGACTATATGAAGAAAAACGTGGTATCAGGATTGGAGGAAGAATCATTAACAACCTGAGATACACAGATGATACAACTTTGCTTGCTGAAAGTGAGGATGACTTGAGGCACTTACTGATGAAGATTGAAGAATACAGTCTGCAGTATGGATTACATCTCAATATAAAGAAAACAAAAATCCTCACAACCGGACCAATAAGCAGCATCATGATAAATGGAGAAAAGATTGAGGCTGTCAAAAAATTCACGTTGCTTGGCTCTACAATCGATGCCAATGGAAGCAGCAGTCAAGACATTAGACGATGTGTAGCACTGGGCAGGTCAGCCACAAAGGAACTCTTTCAAGTACTGAGGAGCAAGGATGTGTCTCCTTAAGGACTAAGGTATGCCTGACACAAGCCATGATATTTTCAATCACCTCGTATGCAATGTGAGAGCTGGACAATGAATAAGGAAGACCAAAGAAGAGTTGATGCTTTTTAGTTGTGGTGCTGGTGAAGAATGCTGAAAGTACCATGGACTGCTAAAAGAACTAACAGATCTGTTCTGGAGGAAGTACATCTGAAATGCTCCTTGGAAGCGAGAATGGCCAGACTTCATCTCATCTACTTTGGTCATGTTGTCAGAAGCGACCATTCCCTGGAGGAGGATTTCATGCTTCGTAAGCATGAAAGAAAGGAGAAGGGAAGGCCTTCAACAAGATGGATTGACACAGTGGCTATGATGATGGGCTCAAGTATACCAGAGATCATGGAGCTGGCGCAGGATCGGGCAGTGTTTTGTTCTGCTGTGCATGGGGTTGCTATGAGTTGGAAATGACTCCACGGCACCTAACAACAACAACATGTGATCCAGCAATCTCACTCCTAGGTATACGTCCTACAAAAATAAGAGCCATGACACGAATAGACATATGCTCACCCACGTTCTCTGCAGAACTATTTACAATAACAAACAATGGAAAAAAATGCTCACCAATAGATAATAAACAAACTATGTTATATACACAAAATGTAATACCACACAACATTAAAAAACAATGATGAATCTTTGAAACATCTCACAACATGAATGAACCTGCAGGACATTATGATTAGTGAAATTAGTCAACCACAAAAGGACAGATATTGTATGAGAGCACCAATAAAAACTGTCAAGAGGTTTACACACAAAAAGAAACATTCTTTAATGTTTACCAAAGGTGGGAGGGGAAGAAAGGGTAAACCACTAACTAGAAGGTAGAAACATATTAACCTGGGGGGAGAGAAAGGTAATATTCAAAAAGGAGGTCAGCACAAAAAGATCAAGGCAAAAGAAGACACTGGGAGGAGTACAAGAGTTACAGGCAACAGAAGTAAATGCTATTACATATACAGTCCTTAGTAACAGTAATAATTATAATCTACAAGTGGATACATAGACAGGCACACAAGCTGAACAGGTATCTGAAGGAGAATGGGACTATATGCATGAATATATATAGGTTTGACAGAAGATATTTCTATATATGTGTTTAAATATGCTGCAAATATATCCATGAATATAGTAGAGCATAAAGGGGGTAAAGTTATGAAAACTTGTTAGCCACAACCAAAAATCTTGAGGGAAAGAGTCTCTGAGCATGGAGGCTCAGGATCTTAGTCTCAAGGACATCAAAGTCAATTGGCACAACATAACCTACAAAGAAAATGTTCTATATCCTACTTTGGTGGGTAGCAACTGGGGTCTTAAAAGCCTGTGAGCAGCCACTAAGGTGCAAGTATTGGTCTCTCCCCATCCGGACCATGCAAGCCTCAGCTTCCATGACCCTGAGACCAGAGGAACTAGATGGTGCCTGGCTACCACCACTGACTGCTCTGAAAAGGATTGCACTAAAAGGTTCTGGATAGAGTGGGAAACTAATGTGGAAGAAAACTCAAAATCATAAAATGGCCAGGCTTACTGGTCAGATGAAGACACAGCATCCCCAAGACTATGGTTCTTCATCACCTTTCAAGCCTGGAACTGAACTCACCCCTGTGACTGAATTTTCAGCCATAAAGAAGACAGACCTACTAGGTGAATAATAACACTATGATGGTGCACTCCTTAGAACAATCAACGATTCAAGATCAAAGGGGTAGCATTTGTCCAAGGACAAAGTTCAGAAGGCAGGAAGGGTTAGGAAAGAAGGAGGAATGGAAACAAGAAACACACAGAAGTGAGATAAGTGATATTATACTGAGGGAATTGCGATGAATGTCATGAAACAAAATGTGTATGAATTGTTGAATAGAAAACTGACTGCTCTATAAACTTTCACCTAAATCATACAAAAAAAAATTTTTGGTCCTTAAGGACCATTGAAAGAGTCACCCTGAATTCTGCTGTTGGGGTGCAGTGACTGCCTAACCCTGAAGTGAGTAGTCAAGAGGCCATTTCTCTGTCATGTTTATAAAAGGTATGAATATGCTTCTGCTTTGGGCCAAATACTTAGGAAATCATGAGGCAGTTGTTTTCATTTCCTAATTAAATACCTACATTTTCAAGAATAAAGTAAGAGCTCTGTGAGAAAAGAACACAATGACTTCGCATTTCTTACCCTGGAGTAACTTCACTTGGCATTCAATTTTCTCATAACCTTCTAAGAATTACTTTTCTTTTGTTTTCATTAATAGGCATGTCAGCTGTCCTTCCTACAGGGCAAACTGTTGACAAGATTCTACTCCTGAATGCTAGCATGTAAAAGAAACAGAAACATTTAGATGCAGCATCACACCAGCAGAAGTAATTGGTAAGAAATGAGCAGTTCCTTAACCATTCATTCAATTATTCATTTACTTGACATGTATTTATTGAGTTCCCTGCCCTGGAGCATTTAGGCAAATAAGTATTATTGCTGCTGCCTGGAGTTGGATCTACCCACCTGGAAGGACAGGTTGTCCTTTGTTTAAAATAGGAAATTCTAGACAGATATCTCCATCCTCTTGATCTCGTGCCAACCATCGCTGAACAGGTATATAAAACTGTTTTCCAGAATACATGTTCCACAATTGTATCTACAATAATAACAGTATACCTTACAAAATATTTAAGAATATTATCAAATAGTCAAATAAAGGTCTTAGTCCAAGCTGCTTAGTTCACAGATCATTTTATTATAAGTATTTTATAGTTTAAAAGTATTTATAATTTTAATCTATTATTTCCTGATTTGACCCATATAAATGAGTTTACTTTTTCAATATTAATGTGACTTCACAAAATATTTGTTGTTGTTGTTGTTATGTGCCGTCGAGTCGGCCCCGACTCATAGCGACCCCTCCTTGGGTTTCCGAGGCAGTATCACTACGGAAGTAGGATTGCCCAACCTTCCTTCCGAGGAGTGGCTGGTGGGTTTGAACCGCCAGCCCTCTGGATAGCAGTCAAGTGCTTTTAGCCACTATGCTACCAGAGCTCCTTCACACAAAATATTAGCACAGGTTATATTTCAGGCACTAGAAATTCAAACTGATATAATTCCCTCTTTAGTCTATCCTTGTGTCATTCATGAATGAATAAATTTAAAAAATAATCATTTATTTGTTATTAATTATTTTAGTTTATTATGCCATATTATATCTGATCAATTTATCCTAAGTTAAACAAATAAATTAACAATAAATGATTGTAAAAAATAATCAAAAAGTAGAAAGTTATTCTGATTCTGAAATCTAACTTTTTATGAATTATTCTTGTTAGCTGCCATTGAGTTGGCCTCACCTCATGGAGACCCCACCTTGTAACAACCACATGCACAATGGAACAAAACACCATCCCCATGATCTGCTGTGGATCAGACCCTTCAGATGCATAAAGCTTTCTTTGGAGATGCTACTATTTTTTTAAATGTTTCAGTAAGCAATTATTTTATCTGTTAATCTTACTTTCATTAAACTGCCTTAAGTCAGAGATTTTCATATTTAATTTATTTTAAAAATCACCATGTTTTATAGGCAGATTTTCAGTCCACAAACCTGTGGTTCTTAAATAGGCCCAGGAATTTACATTTATAAATGCACATTAGGTATGATCCTGATGCAAGTGGTTACCAGATGTCACTTTTTTGGAAAGGTTACCTTTCCACATAAACTAATCATTGGTTTCCAAAGCTGCTGCCTTGATTTTTGATTTGGTTATTTTTATCAAAGACCAAAGCAGATCCTTTAAGAAATACAAAATAAACTAGCATTTGAAATATGTTATTTTGTAATCTTCCCTAATTAATATTGAAATCAAGATTAAGGTCCTGAAAACAATGTGATTATTTTATAGGCTGTATCATTGTTGTTATTACAAGGTCAGTGTTTTTATTCAAATCTCCTCAAGATTTAGGAGCAAGTTGGAGTACTTAGATTTTAATTTTAAACTACTGAACTACATTATCAGATTTCAATAGGAGGAGGAAATGGAATGTATGGCTAATTGCCTCCTTGAACAATTGCCTCCTCTGCCCCAAGAATATAAGAACTGGATGATGTTACCATTGCCAGATGTTTTCATCAAAGATTCTACAGAAGAATCCTGATCAAAACAGGGAAAAATTAACACAGAATTCCAAATTCTCATAGAATTAAGACTTTCTGAAATCATGGAGGCTAGATGAACCACTGAAATTATTGTTCTGAGATAACATATAACTTTTAAATAAAAATATTCCCTGAAGTCTTTTTAAAACCAATCAATAGTTTAATTTAACTAGTAAAGAATGCCTGCCTTGAGTATTGTGCTCTTTTAAGAACAATCTATAACAATCAAACTGACAAAAGTGATTCAAAAGATTAGATAGGAAACTCATGGGGCCTAGCATTTATATTAGTGGGGGAGGAAAAATCCAGAAAGGAAGGATGAGAATGGTTGCACAACTTGAAAAATATAATCTATTTCACTGAATTGTACATGTAGAAATTGTTGAATTCGTGTATGTTCTGCTGTGTATATTTTTGAAAACAACAAAAATAAAACAGTTTTTTAAATTGAACAAACAATTCCTATCTCATGATCTAGTTTCTTAATTTAGCCAAATGGGAATATTATATAAGAGCTTTAGTATTTTGTTAGATGCTAGTGAGTTGATTTTGACTCAGAGAGACTCCATATGATGGAGTAGCATTGCCCCATAGGGTCTTCTAGGCTATAATATTTATGAAGTCTGATCACCAGGGCTTTCTCCTGGGGAGTTGCTGGGTGGATTCAAAACACCAAACTTTTCAGTTAGCAGCTAAGGAGTTAATAATCACAGTACTAGGGCTCCCTATAAGGGTTTAAAACAAAGTATAACTTTGGGTGAAGACCCTGTCTCTTCTTCATTTGTACTCAAAGAGGGAGGATGTAAACTTCAGGCAAATAAATTGTCTTTCAATTACAGAGAGAAAGGCATTAGGAATCTTTAGCATAATTTTTCTATCTTTCCTCTGAAACACTCGATAATTTTTTTCAAATCATTTAACCACTTTGTCTCAGCATCCTCACTTCATAATAAACATAATACTGCTTATCAGTTATCAATCAAATGAGATGGCATGAGGAATAATGATAATTTTGATAAATTACTTTGGCTTACTTTTTGTTGTTGTTGTTGTTGTTATGTGCCATCGAGTCGGACCCAACTCATAGCGACCCCTCCTTGGGTTTCTGAGGTGGTATCACTATGGAAGTAGATTGCCCAACCTTCCTTCCGAGGAGTGGCTGGTGGGTTTGAACCGCCAGCCTTCTGGTTAGCAGTCCAGTGCCTTAGGCACTATGCTACCAGAGCTCCCTAACATCTTCTTGTTGTTATGCGACGTTGAGTAGGACCCGACTCATAGTGACCCCTCCTTGGGTTTCTGAGGCAGTATCACTACAGAAATAGATTGCCCCAATACTACATATTATTATATATGATCATTTATATATCAATATGTATATCATGTTTGAAAAATTCCAAATAGCATTAAAAAGAACATTATATCATATAAATGCCAGGTGTGGTGTAGTATATTACATAGTGTGGCTTTTCTAGCCATAAGTCTTTGTAAACTCCATGGTGGGATTTCCCATGAGCAACTGGTAGCCCTTGATTATTAAAAGTATCCACCTGGAGTATTTCTGTTGGGAGCAGCACAAAGTAATTTTCTGAGAAGTTCACTTTCTCTCAGTAATAGAATTACGATGTTGGGATAGGTTAGTTTGGCCATTCTGCCAGGCTCAAAAGGCGCCCTCCTAGAGGCAGAAGGGGTCTCTCTGACTGTTGGCTGAGACAAATACACTCCTGAGAGACATGTACTTGCTGAGAGAGACACATACTGCTGAGAGAGAGACTGCTGGCTGCTAAGTGAGACAGCCAGCTGGAAGAGAGAGTGCATTTCTGAACTTGAATTGTAGCCTTTGTTGCCCTTATAAACCCAATAATCTGTGAGTTCTGTGTGGCCACTGCAGCAAATTATTGAACCCAGCAGAGAGGTGATGGGTGCTGAGGGAGGAACGGTTGGTGTCAGGGTTGGTGAAAGGGCTGGAGGGAGGCACAAACACACTGCCATCGATCAGATCTGAATCAGAGCCACCCCTCCTGGGGTTTCTGAGGAGGTATCACTACAGAAGCAGATTTCCCAACCTTAGTAACTATCATGTATTCCTGCTAAAGAATTAAAAAATCTGTTTTCAATGAATTACTCATCTTTCATGAATTTTTCATTAATTTTTTAACATTTTATTAAACTTAGAAGAAGGAAGCTTTGCCAAGAAATTTAACTTAGCAATTTGAGAACTTGTTTAGGTCAAGATTATTTATTTTAAAATGATAGAAGATGTAAATGCACCATATCCAAAAATAAATAGCAAGCTATAGATTTCCAATAGGGGAGATCTGCATTTACTATCAATCCTCACAATAGGTAGAATTTTTCACTCTGAACAATATATACAATTTTCAAGGACACTGCATCACTTCACATAAATAGATCAAACTTAATGGCAAATATTCAAGTCTAATAGTTATTATCTCATGAACACAATAGCTTACCTTTACATCCTTTCTGAAGCAGATGACATGCACTTAGCCACTTATTCACTAGGAATGGAACTATATCAAGAAGCTATGTGAGTTTATCCAGAGTTGTATTTTCTTTTCTTTGTAATGAAGTGAAAGGATTGTTTAGTTGAAGTCCTTCCCTTGATTAATTAGGGATGAATTAATTAATAAGGGCATATAATATCAATGCCTTATAGGGATGAACTGACCAAAAAAGATCCCAGTTAGACTCTATCAAATTTCACTAAGCATGAAATACCCCCTTGAGATTTGTTTCCAGAGCTGAATACACAGAGGATTTTTCAAGGGATGGGAAAGTGTTGATGTAGCCCTACCTCCTTACAGTGCCAAGCAGGAGAGAGTCCAGAGTTGGTATGACCAATACGAATCTTAAAAAGTGTTCCAATGTTTCCAACAGTGATCTATAAGGGAACCCAGAGAACATATTTTGATGTAATTTCACAAAATCCACTTAAAAGTAACTATCAATAGGACATTACATATTGAAAAAAGTATCAATCCATCACAAATATGATAATGACAAGCATGCATCTAAAAACAGAGCCACAAAATATTTAAAGCAAAAATTGCTAAAATTATTCCCCCAAAAGTTGGAAT